CCCAAAGGTGCTCGGGGGGGTGTGTAGGGGGTGCATAGCAGTTCCCTGCTGCAGCCACTGGGAGCCTGTGTGGGACTGTCCAGTGTCTGCTCTGCACTGCCACTGCTGCCCCGTGGAGAAGCCCAGAGGCGGTGGTGACAACAGCAGAGATTTGGGGCAACCCTGTGCAGACTCCTGGCGGCTGCAGTAGGGAACTGCTGGCAGCAGGAGGGGGAGATGCTGCTTTTCCCCCCACGCTGAGCAATAGCTTTTGTCTCATGCTGCCACTGCTAAGCCTGAGCAGGTGAGCCTGGAGCATGCACAGGGTGCATGGGGTCAGGGCTGTGCAGCACAGGTCCCTGCTGGTACCGCAGGGCTGGGGTCCTGCAGCAGCTGAAAGGAGCCACCTGGACTGCCTAGAAAGGCAGTCCAGCTGCAGAGCTGCCCCAGCCCTGCTGCGTGCCCAGGGGGCGGCAGGACTCACCATGGCTGGACTGTGTCTGGGCCAGGCAGAACAGAGGGACCTGCTGCGGGCGTGCGTGTGTGTATATATGAATATACAAAACGCACATTATATATAGAAATAAATCTATCTGAGAGAGAGAAAGAATGGCCTTTTGCTGGGCTCAGTTGCAAAGGCCCAGTCCCTGTACAAGAACAGCTTGCTGGACCACAGTGAGCCAATGGAAAAACCCTAGGCCCAGCTTGTTCCTAAAGGAATGTCAAAACATGTAAAGGTCTCTCTAGTCTAGTGCTTTCCCTCAGACCCCAGGAAGCCAGGGTCTTTCAAATCCTGAGTCCTTGCCTCTTAGGTTCTTTAGACAGAACTAGGATCTTTATCTTCAGAGATTTTAGGGGACTAGTTTTTGGTGAGTGCAGTGGGTAAGTGAGGAAAGCTGATCTCACTGAGCACTTGCATGTAGAAGACGGGCTGTACCTGTTTGGTGTGGAATATAGTGCTTAGGAGGAGCAAACATCGACACAATGTGGAGCTTGCCATGTAACACATGATGGGCTGGCCCTGTCTAAGGGCTTTTCATCCCTCATGAAAAATTGCAAAGGAATTGCCAGTAAAGGCTGTTTGTATGCCTCTTCTTCCTCATTTTTCCCTGGATACTACAGTTTCTAGCTCCTGGAACATCAGTCAGTATTAGGATCCTGGATCAGACTCACTGTAGTGTTGGAACATGGTGTCTGAGGCTAAGGCTACAGCACCTCCAAATAGACTCGTTTGCTAGATCCCTCGGATGGCAAAAATGGATTTAGCTGGTTTTACCTACCAAATTTGATCACAAACATTAGCATGGGAACAATGCACCTGCTTCAGGTGCACCAGCATCCCACAGTGCTACCATACAGAGTTGCATCTTGCAGAGGATGTTTGTGCTTTACTGTATGGTGCAGAACAGATGGTCCTTATGCCAAGAGTTTATCACTTCTCTTCGTACAGACTACACATGGTTCAGACTTAGCAGACAACTAGGGGTTGGAAAGTCAAATCTCTGCACTGAGTGAACATTGCTCCTAGCTGTGGGTTTTGATGGATCTTTTCAAATGGCTTCACAAAAGAGGCAGTTTTGTACCTTTTTATCTTGTATTTTATTTGTAATCTGACAGAACTGATAATGTGGGAGCCACCCCTCAGTTCATAGGAAGACCTCAGTCTCATCCCAAATAGTTTACAGTCTTTCCAAACTAAGTGGTCTGCAAGCTGAAGCCTCCAGATAGACCTGTAAGTTGCCAGGAACTGTCAGTGGGATAAGTAAGGCCTGCTGTCTGTACTGGGATTTACAGTAGCATGTTCACCTGTGAGCACATCTCTTCTGTTGCCACTTGAGAGTAAAATGTGTGCCTGCTCTCAGGGATTGGATGTGGGACACCACTGGAAGTAGCCTGCATCCCTAGGGCACTGCTAAAATGTACATGATTTAAAATGCAAATTGGATCTGAAATTGTGTCAAAAAATTTGCACGTACCGGAAGTCCCAAGTTGCTCCGAAGTGTGCATCTTGAAATGCTCTGATTTCCATTTCCCATGACTCTTGGCACTGAAGGATTTGGGCAAATTATAAAAACATTTGGAGAAGGGTTACAGTCCTATGGGTTATGCTGTGACAGCGTTTCACTGTCAAAGCACTGGAACAATTTAGATTTTTTTCAGTTATTTTAATAGGGTTTTTCCATCTTCATTTATATAGGTTCAAACATAGTAAAGTGGCTTTGCACAAGCTGCCAACTAAAGTCACAGCTTTTAGTCTGTGAATAAAGAGGACAGGAGGCTTCTCAGAATAACAAGGATTTCCAGAATATTGTAAGCGTTAAGGACAACCTTCTCAGGAGCATCTGTTGATGGAGCCGACATACCAGTGAAAAAAAAATCAATAAGGCCCTTTGGAAAAATGTTTTCCCATTAGGTTTTGGAAGAAATAGCAGCCCTTGTACTGTTGTTTGTAATCCAATAGCTCCCAGTAACTACCCTGCCACTACTTACCCCACTGATGCTACTGCGCCCAGATCTGGCCTGGGAGGGGTGAGTTTGATGTTCCTGGACTACACTATCAGGTTTCAAGGAATGAGCCAGTCTCTTATCAAGAATAAGGAAGAAGTTTTCCTAGGAAGCAAGTCAGGTCACAACAAGAAGTACTCTGTGGGCAGGATCCCTCTGGAAAGTTGTTGGTGCTGGCCCGGCCCAGGATGCTATTGTCTTTGTTCTAATAATCCTCCAGCAGCATCAGCATAATCATATAAGCGATTAATGCCAGGAGTCAAAATAACAGGATATACCCCTTTGTTTTCCTTGCCACCTAAGGTTCCTGGTCTACATCTACCCCAAGCAAAAGCTGGAGAAAAGATGACTTTTCCTCTTCCCCAGAAGCTCCATGTTGTGTAGCTGGTTTAATTTCAGTTCCAAAGTAATTAGGCACACACAACAGTAAGATAATTCAGTAATGATGAACGAACATATTATTTAAAAAACAGAATACTGCAAACTCCGCTGAATTAACCACATTCTTAACTGTGTCTGGTTCGCTAGCACACGCCAATTCAGAAACAACCAGCTTGTTCTTGGAGAGTCAGATACAAGAGCTGTTTTGTAGTCTAACAAAAATATGTAACAGGAGCCAAATTTGCCTATGTGAATCCTGATATCCCATCTCTATCTCATGTATTACAAAAATCAGATAAAGGAGGGGGTCACACTTGCCTGTTGTTTAAAAATCATCTGTTGTTTGCATGTTGAGTTTCGTTTAAGTATTCATAACGTAATGAAGCCCTGTCTCGGGCTTCCCGGCGCTGGGGCTCAGGTGGCACGCAGCCATGCCTGGCCCCCTGACCCTTCTCAGGGTCCTAGGCCCTTACTGGGCCGAATACTGCCCTCTCGGGCTGGGGTCTCAACCCCACACCACGCTGGTGCCAAGTTGCCGCGCCTTCCCAGCGCTGCTCGCTGCCCGCACAGGGCACCCAGGAAACCCCCGGACTACTGGGGATCTCCTGTGAGGCCTTCTCACACCCCTACAGCCTCACCTGGTCCTCCGGATGATACACACAACTGAATCATAAGCCAACCGGCTGCAACCCAAATCATACGCCCACCGGCTATAACAACACAATCAGCCTACCGGCTTCTACATCAAGTCCCAGCCGTCCTGGCTCTCGGGCCAAAGCCTTCTGGTCAGGCTTCTCTCTGCCTGCACCATAATGCAGCCCTCTATGTGCCAAGCGGCACTGCTCAGTCTAGCTCTCCCGCAGAGCTCTTACGCACAGGCTACCAGAAGGAAACTGCCAGCCAGGCTCTGGCCTAGCTGTTTATAAGGGCCCAGCCCTGCCCCCTTCTGGTCACATGGCCGACCTGGTTACTCCCACAACCCACAGCTGAGCTGCCCTGGTGATTGGCAGCTGCTCTAATCCTTACTCAGGAAGACAATAGGGAAGATGAGAGAAAACATTGGAAGAGATGTGTGTATTAATTACTAGGAAGGATCCATTAACAAGGAAGGTAGTCTGGGTCATTTTGCTGGTGTGTAATATAGTCCTTGGGTTTTTTACTCAGCTAAACAATTTAATTGCATGCTGTTGAGGAGAGTATTTTGTGACACGCACCTGGTCTAAAGTCTTCAGTTAAAAAAAATAACAGACACTTTAGGGGGTGTGGTTTTCTCTCTTCTGTCCCAAGAAGAAATGAGTCTGCTGTGTGATGCAGCTGCACAAAAGGTAAATGCAGCTTTGGGCTGCATCAGTAGAAGCATTAGGTGCAAGACATGGGAAGTGATAGTGCATTGGTTAGGCCTCATCTAGAATAATGTGTGCAGTTCTGGGCTCCCCATTTTAAAAATGACATGGAAAAGTTAGAGAGGGTCCATGTATGGGCAACAAAGATGAGCAAGGGTTTGGAAGGCAGGTCTTACGAGGAGAGGCTTGAAGGAGCTGAGCATGTTCAGCTTGCAGAAAAGGTGCTTAAGAGAGGACATGATAGCAGTCTTGAAATACTTGAAGGGCTGCCATAAAGAAGTGGAAAAGCACCTTTTTCTCTTGCTGCAAGGAGAAGGACATGGACCAATGGCTTGAAGTTGCAGCCAAGTAAATTTAGACTGGATATCTGGAAAAACTTCTCCACTGTGAGAATAGTGAGGCAGTGGAATAGACTGCCTAGGGAAGTTGTGGACTCTGTCACTGGAGGTGTTCAAGAGGAGGTTGGATAGCCACTGGTCAGGGAAGATCTAGGTGTAGCTATTAGAGGTGCATTGATACATCAGTCTATATCATATTGGTACTGATAAAAAGGAAAATTGAAGCTATTGGCACGCCGATAAATGCTGTGTGTCGCTGTGCGCATCCCCAGGGGAGGCATGAGGGGCATGTGCCCCCTGGATCTGCATGTGGAGCAAGGGTGGGTTGCTCGCTGTGGGCTGGGGTGGGGGGCAGCACTGGGCTCTTCCTGGTGTGGGGTTGGGCCGGGGCTGTGCTTGGGGCCAGTGGTGGCAGTGCTGGGAGGCGGGGCTACAGGGTTGGCTATGGCCACCCCAAAATTTGCCCTAGCCCCCTCCAAGCTCTCTCCTCCCAGTACCACCACCTGCCCCGAGCACGGCCTCAGCCCAGCTTCCTACTAGAAGAGGCTACTGCCATCCCAAGCCCACAGCGGCAGCCTGCCCTCACCCCATGTACAGATCTGGGTGGTACACGCCCCCCACGACTGCCGCCAGGGCTGTGAGCAGCAGTGGGATGACCCCCGGATGACCTACTTGGGGCTCCATCCCCACCCCAGCTGGGCAGCCCCTGTCCCAGCCCTAGCCCCATTCCCTCCTTCAGTGAAATTTCATAGCTGCTCACAAGAGATCTTGTATCATGTGACACTTGGGCACCCACATTATTTTTTCTTAACCTTTTATTCTAGACTGCAGTCAGTAATGTTTCGAAGTGGCAGGCTGAAACAACCAGCTTGGGTCTGAGGTGGGCTCAAATTTCTGACCCAGCAGCTGCCACCTCCACTCCTCCCTGCTATGCTGTAGGTGAAGCCCCCTACTGCTAAAACCCCCCAACACTGCAATCTGGATCCAATGACTCTACAAGCCATAGACTGCTGACCTCTGTTTTAGACTATTGTGGTTTTTACCTGTATTAACAGCCCAGTTCCGCCAGGCACTTAAGGTGTTGACTAACTCTTGTAAACTTGAGCAGACTGAGCCTAAGCAAAATCTTGCACAAAACATATGGTACATGCATACATACCTATGTGCAAAAGCAAAGTCACATTTGTGTTTCTATGGCTATTCCTCAGTCACTAGAATAAGATCCTCACCAGCATGAGGGAGAGGAGGATCTGGTCTGTTGTTGAAAGCAAATATGTTAATTATGCTTATTAGGGTGGAAGGCAAAAAGACTCAGTATAGTTTTTAAGAGGTTTTTCCTGGAGAAGTGGGTAAATCTGCTGTAACTGGGCCTGAGCAAGTGATTAAGCACCCCAGTGTAGTTGATCCTTTTCTTTCTCTCTTCTGCACAACCAGCTTTGAAACCCAGAGGAATGGCCTGGTATTCATCTATGATATGGCTGGGTCCCAGTACACCAACTTTGAACTGGACCTCAGCAAGAAAATCCTCAACCTGCTGAAGGTAAAGGAAAGCTTACCTCTGGTTTTGGGGGGAGGGGGAAGGAAGGGAGTGTCAAGGGATGAGGTCTCCTTGCTCTAAGAGTATGTAACTTATAGGAAGAGAAAGGTAGAGCAGTGGTTGGGGCTGGTGGGACTTTGGTTCAGTTTCTGGTACGAACATCCTATGTGAACTCAGGCCCTTGGTCCGCCCCAGGCCTCAGCTCCCATTCTGTGAAAGGAGGTGAATAGCACTTCATGGTGATATTGTAAGAATAAATCCATTTTCATGGCTGAGAGGTGCTTGAAAATCAAGATCATGAGGACATAACTTGTTTATAGACAGAGACTTCATGGCAGAAGGATCTCTGTGAGCACGTGTCCTTGGAGAATTTAGAATTTATGATCATCTCCACAGGGTGGGAATCAAAGCCTTTGTTGACACTGTAAGTGAGGGGGTGGATGTTGTTCCATCTCTGCAACAACTTCTTCCATACAAATATTTCAACTGTTTTGTTACCAAAGCTCCACAGTCTGAGGGGCACTGCTGTGTTATGCTAAACAATTGGGACACAAGGTGGCAAGTCACAGTATTTGATATTCCTTTTTGACAGGTGCTCTGTGCAGCCTTGGGCAATTAATTCATTAATGTTTCCCATCTCTAAATTGGGGATAATCATTCCTAATCATCTACTCCAAAGGGAACTTGTGATGATCAGTTAAGTAGTGACTATAAATAAGATCTTGAACATAAAAGGTCTTATCCATCCCCCATCAGTCAGTAAAGATCTTACCATTAAATGCAATGGCTGTTAGATCAGGTCTATAAAGTACTACTTAAATGTGAAGTGTGTAGGTTTTATAATGGGCCTGCTTCCCAATTGGTCAATTATCATAAAACAAATCCAAGTCTATACTGACAGTTCTTGATTGCCCCCCTACCAATAAGGTGAGAGAGAGAACTGGATATTAGACATGGAAGATATCTTAGATTGAGCAAACCGGCTAACAGTTAAGACAGAGCTATTAAGTTTCTGCATGTGCATAAGAAACAAGTGGTTGAGCTTTTAAAGAGAAAGAAACCATCCCAAGCTGTGTATGTGTGACGTACCTGCGTATTTATACTGTAGTCATCACCAGGGCACCTAGATTGTGCTCCTATAACTTCCTAAAGAACATGGAGCAGAAAGGAGAACTTCTTCCCTCCAGCCAGATTGCTAGAACTGCATTGCTTTGGCCTGATCTGATTTTCAGGCCTGAACCGCAGGCTCCCCCTGCTGGTCATGAAAAGTTAGGGCAAGGAATTGAAGAAGCTTGGGTTTTCCCAGCCTATCTTTTTCTGTAGACCAGCGGTTCCCAAACTGACAGATTGTGCACCACCAATTTAAAACGATACAACCTTAAGTACCACCGGCAAACTTTGCAGTTAAGTCTGAAGTACCGCCAGCAAATTTTTGTCATATAAAGTAATTATAATAAACCTGTTAATGCATACCACTGGCAGGTTGTTTGTGTACCACTGGTGGTACCCATACCACAGATTGGGAACTACTGCTGTAGGCACCACTGATAAATGGTGCTGTGGCTTTAAAACTCCTTTGCATACTCTCTGCAGGGAGCCTTCCCAGCTCGCCTCAAAAAGGTGTTCATCGTGGGAGCTCCTATGTGGTTCCGAGTCCCATACTCCATCATCAGCCTCCTGCTGAAAGAGAAGCTGCGGGAGAGGGTGAGTAGCACAAGGCACCTCAGCCTGGTCCAGACTTGGGAGGAGTCCAGGCTCCAGACTGCTGGCACACATAAGAGAGTCTTAGGTCTGAGGAACTGCTTGTAATTGCTTGGAAGCAGGATCTTGCATGAGAGAGAAGAGACCTCTTGGCTTTGCTGCTGCCTGTGCTGTAAGCCTTCTTATCCACCATTCCAGTGAGGCCAGGTGGAGGGTTCTACATCCAGGAAGGCTGCAGGGATGCCAGAGCAAAGGAGTGAATATAGCCTGGATGCAAATGGATGTCCCTCAGTTGCTGTCAGTAGAGGTGTGCCACTCCATCACAGAGGTGGACTTAGCCTAGGGGAGCTTAAAACAAACCAGCAGTTTAACTTTCAAAAGCATGAGCCCATGTGTACCCTAGTGCCCACATAACCCACATTCACCCATGTGCCAGTGTTCAGTGTGGCCCTCTGTTATTCTGTCCATCAGCATGTTTCTTGCTGGCAAAGGTACTGGGGTTTGACTGGGCCTAAATCTTCAACCTAAATCTCTCATTATTTCTGAATCTCTTTGTTGGATTGCAGTGTTCCTGGGTAGGTGGTCAGGGCCTCATTGTGCCAGGTCCTGTACAGATTTTTTTTCCCTAAAAAAAAGTGTGTGTGTGTGTGTGTGTGTGTGTGTGTGTGTGTGTGTGTGTGTGTGTGTGTGTGTGTGTGTGTGTGTGTGTGTACCTGTGCATGCACACATTATATATACACCTTCTAGCAAGCTTTTCTTCTCATACCTTAACTCACAAAACCAAACCCATAAATGTGTTACAATACATGCACCTGTAGACCCATGCAACTGCCTGTCAGCCTCCCTACCCAGATCACACTGTCCCTTAGTCCACACCCTGGTTAAGGGGTTTAAAGTCTCAGTTCATTTTCTGTCACTGTATCTCCCATTGGAGGATCCGCTGCTGCTGTGCTTGTCGCTGTCCCCAAGTCAGGTTTTCTCATTGTCCTCTTCACTGTCATTGTCTGTTCCTCCTCTGGATGGGTCTTGGAAGAACCTGTGCCGGGTGTTCCTTTGCCAGGTGGAGTTGGCTGCATCCTCACTGTCCTCTGCTACCAATTTCCGGTAGTAGGACTGGAGTTCACTCAGTCATTTTAATACAGTGTAGCACTTCAAGGTGCATGTGGCTGTACATCAGGAAGTTCCTGGATTTCCACAGGGCACTCCTGACACAGAACACAAACTAGTCGAAACAGGCTGATGGGCTTCCTTAGTGTATAATTAGGTGCCCATACAGTGCCACCCCTCTGGTCAGCTGCCTGTCACTGCTTTGCAGAGCCCCTTTACCTTTTTCCACATCTCCTTGGTTAAGGAACAGAACCATAGGAAGTGGTCAGTAGTCTCTGTGGCCCTTAGCAGATTGCCCTCTAGCAGCTTGGTGTCCTGTACAGATGCATGGGAGGAGCTTTCAGGCAGTGCCTGTGCCCTTTTGGCTATCCCACCTCTAATCTCTTCCTTTAATTTGCAGCTTCCAGCAGTAACATCAAAGGGAAAAGGAGTGAATAATTAAAGTTAAATGGAAGTTAAGTGCTCTTTTCACACGTGTGTGCGGGGCTTCTGTTTTTAAGGTCCCTGCCAATCAAAGCACTTAAACCCATGCCTAATTTTAAGCATGTGAATAGTTTCATTGAAGTCAGTGAACACACACACTGAAACTAAAAAGAGCTCTCAGGCAGCCTTAAATTAAGGGGCCCAGTCCTGACTTTGGGAGCAGCAGAGGGGCCTCAGTATAATCCTGAACACACCAAATACAAAGTCTCAAGAGCCAGGTCCTGTGTATTCTTGCAAGGGTGGATTGTACCCCACACACCTTCTGGCTCTCTCTCGGGTCTTCCTTTGGTGCCTAATATCACTGTAGCCAGAAGGCAGAACAGGGAGCTGCATTCCTTCCAGTGGTTTGGGGCATTTGTATAACATCATCAAAAGCTTTGTAAGGACTACAGCATCCTGCTTTGGTTTACCAGAAAGGGTTGTGAATAGTGTCAGCTTGTTCAGCATCTGGATCTTGGGCACTGGCCAGTAAACTAATTTAAAAAAACCCTCATCTTCTGTTCACTTGCAATTTCTAGTCCTGCCTGAGAATTCTTTTAACCACTTAGTCTGAATCCATTTCTTATTTAGTAAATAATAAGAACAGTTTTGATTTCCCCTGGAATCAGAAAACAGGATATCATAGTCAGGATATTGCATTCAGGCAGCTGTTCAGAGGAAAGGAGGAGCTTAAAGATTTACTATGTTTTCTAAATACAGCACCCAGCATGTCATAGGCTCTTTCAGATGGAGTTCAAATGTTGTAGGGCTCCTTTTCTGGAATATCCGGCAAAATTTTGGGGCTGTGACAAAGATGTTCTTACCATGCACATAAAAAGGAGTCTTACCTAGGAACCTGTAGTATCCTGACATCACTGCTGGTGGAACCCTGCCTTTGTAGTTAAATGCTTCCCTCTACCTCCTATAATGAAGTGACTTTAATGTGTGACTCTGTGTAATCATACCTGCCTCCCAGATCTGCCTGGGGGCTTGCATGAAGAGCATCCCCCTGAAGTGAGTCTTTTACTGCTGTAAGTCTTCACTCTTGCAGAAAAGCTGTCTCTCTGGACAGCTTCATCCCATTTCCTCTGCTCTGTTCAGGCAGGGGTAGGCAGACTCCCCCTTCTGGATTGTTTCAGAACAGCTCTGTTCAGTGGTAAAAACTGACTTCTAATCAAGGCAAGTAAAGGAGCTATTCAAAGATGCTTTGAGGACATTTCCAGCCCCTGTAGTGGTTTCAGGAACTTCCAGGTGAGCTCAGACTAATACAGCTAACTACCACTCTTTCTTATTGCCAGGCAATATAAGACTCATCCCAGACGGGCACTGTTTCAAGCAAACCCCCATGTTTTTCCCTCCTGATGTGTACAGGCTTTGCCCATGCTTCTCTCCTTTCACTTCCAGGTACAGATGGTGAAGATGGCAGAGTTGAAGGAGCACTTGCCCAGGGAGTGCCTCCCTGAATACCTGGGTGGATCCCTCAGGCTGGACCCTCTCAGCTGGAACTGTCGGTTCCTACCCCAGCAGAATGGCCACCCAGACCCTCTGGATGAGCTCATCTTAGTGCCACTGGTTTCCCCCAAGGACAATGGCTCAGTGCATGTTCCAGGACCAAAGTCTGTGACTGTTCAGGAACTGATGGACCATGTGAATCGAAAGCAAAAACGGGGAATCTATGAGGAGTACGAAGATATCCGGCGTAGAAGCCCTGCAGGGACCTTCATCTGCTCTTTGTAAGTGTGAAGAGGAAGCATTTATGGTGCAGTTAGGCATGGGGATGGCTGTCTGGGAGCTCAGAGCCACCACTGGGTTCCTATGGAAATCATCACTTTGTCAAAGAGGAAGGGGCTGGCTCTTCCACTCTTCCCTAGTCTCCCAGCTTCCCTTGCCTCCTCATCTGAGTGGCATCTGCTCTGACCTTTTTCTTGCATGGAAAGCTGAGCAGTGATAGATGCAGAATGATGGAATGAGGTTAGAGAGGGGACTTCTGGGATCAGGATTTTCTCCTCGTGTGTCCATGTCTGGGTGGCTTGGGAGGGACAAAACAAACCTTGTTGTAACTGGGCCAGCCTCTTCCTAGAGATCTTCTTTACCGTTTGAAGTAGCGATTGAGAGGAGGCAACCCCTCCACGTGGTAGGTTCAGTAAAGGCATATCTGGGTGGATAGTTCTCAATGTAGGCTGCCCTGTAGGGCCTAGCCTGGCTTCACTAGCAGATTTTGGACTCTCAAAACCTTTTTGGTGCCATCCAAGAGCACGTGGGAGGAGAAACTATCACAGGAAAACTGGCCAGAGATGAGAACTGGGTGCTACTTTGGCCTTAACCATGTTCTCAGGAGGATGGCCTTTCTCCAGGTGAGGAAAGCCCTGCCTATGATGACAGCAGAGCCCAAACTCAGAGCTGAAAATGTGACCTATAGCTGTGTGCAGCTGTGCTCACCATCTCTGTTCTGGCTTGTCCTACCCATTCTCTGCCCCTATAGGGCTCCGTATAACCAGGAGAAGAATCGATATGGTGATGTGCCGTGCCTGGACCAAACCCGAGTGAAGCTGACCAAGCAGTTCAGTCGCCCGGAGGTGAGCAGGCTGAGGCCACTTCCACTCAACTCTTCTGGGTTCCAAGCTGGATCTCCTCCCCCCCCCAGAGGGGTGGAATTCACATAGTGAAACATGCCTGCACGGCCTACATGTAATTCCCAGCCCATAACCCTGAAGGATCTGTCCTGTGTGGCCCAACAGATTGTTATAAAAGCTCTGGTGAGGGATTTTGGTTGGTAACCCCCTGGTTAAAGACCAGCCACCACCTGCCTCTGGCTTTCATGCACGGCCACAGTTCTGCCTCAGGGTTTCATCTCTGGGAGAGCACAGATGATGGAGGTTGTGATTCGCCAGAGAACAGGTCTTTGCAGAAGGCTGGCAAGTCCCTCCACTGGTGCTACTCTTTCCTGGCCCTGGGGAACATTCCAGCTCTTAGCAAGAATGTCCTTAGATGTTGCTCTATCTTTGTCACTAGGTCCCTTTGTCTCCTGCACTGTGTGTAGAGGCTATGTGCAAAGCCCCATACCAGTGCAGTTTGGGGGGGGGGGGGGGGGG